GTATGGGGGCCCGAAGAAGCCTGAAATCGAGAATCTTCCGAGCTCAACACTGGCGGCCCGCGTTGATAGCGAGCCCATTTATGCAGCTCAATCATCCAAAGATATAAGTGAACGATCAGCCGGGTTTGACTCAGCCGTTTCCCTTAACAGAGACGCGGAACTTGTTCGGGCTCCCGAAGTTTGTTTGTCCGCGCAGGGGCCACACAGGGCTCAAACTTTGTTCTGGGCGCTAAATTTCTTGGCAAAATCCTTCTCAGGGACTGCGTCAGCACCAGGGCTGAATGATGATCGAGGATGAGGAGTTATATGCCTTCAACTGATTTTTACGACAGCATTTTTTTTTTTTTTTAAAGTATCACTGTATATTGTATGATTTAATACTGTACTTAAGCATAGATTTTATTTAATGGTTATTATAGATTTATATGTTTTTTGGCTTTTTCTATATAATATTGATTTAGAATAAGCCATAGATACTTTTACAACTATATAAATTCGAGGACATTGTTAGAAGCTTGGAAGAGATTAGAGATCTAATTGAACATCCGGCAAGATCCTCTTCTCAAACTTGAGATTTAACATGTATCCATGGATGGATATCTGATGTAAATTTTAGTCAATGGCGATTAACTTTCAATAGGGGAGCTTCAGCACCCTCAACTGAAAGTATAGACTGTAGTTCACTCTTCAATTGCATTCGCCGCGGTGGCATCACGACTCTCAATTCTATGATCTTCACAGACCCATAACTGCCAACTGTTCAACACATCACCACGCCATTCTTGATCCGCATTGACTGCTGATACATCTAGTATAGATAGATGTATAAAAATAGTCTTTCATGCAATTGAGAACCTGATTGTCAGGGTGTGATTTCTAACTGCAAGTTATATGTGTCCCTGCCATGTTATATCCAAGGGGAGGGAGGATGGATCCACCAATCTTGGTTATTGATGGATCAAAGATCCAAGGATCTGGGTCAACTTTAATGCTACAAAGTCTACTATCCATTGATTCCTAACTTTTTTGCCCTGGAGGAGAAACCTTGGTCCCTGTCTGATCATGTGAGCCGAATCCAGGGCTGGTAATTAAAGTTCCCATTGTCAGCTGGAAGTGGGTGGGATGGATCGAGTACGACATACGGCATGAAATGTTATAAATACACATATTACTATACTATACTGTATCACTCGGTCATTGACCCATTCCTGGACTTATATATCACCACCTCCCAAGTTCCCAGCACCAGTCATGCCCCAGATTCGAAACTTCTTCCCCAAGCGCCCCGCCGTGAACCTTGTGCCGGCTGCCAGTGACCCCCAAGCTCTACAGAATGTGGTGGGCAATGGCCCGAACGGATTGCAGCGGACATCATTGACTCTCCGACGCAGTGTAGATGAAAAGCCCAATGAGTACAAAATGAGTGGTACGCTGTGTATCTTGAATTCTGTATCTCCTGTCGATTTCGTTTTTGTCTAACAGGATATATTACACTTCGTGTTGCAGTTGTCAATGATAACGGGGTTTATCTTCCGGTAGGATCCTCCAGTTCCCAGTAATAAATAGTCACCTATAGAGATTTGAATATACCATAATGCAGCCGAGTTGACAAATCCTTTACAATCAGCCCTCACCCACAGAGAAGAAGAGCTTCTGGCGCAAGCCATCCTCGCAAAATAACACAAGAAGCCTCGTCGATGAGAATGAACCGTTTCCTATATCCCGAGAATCCTTCGACTCCTATCGCCGTTCATTCGTATAGACAACCCCTTCTCTTGCCCCGTCCCCGCCCTCCAAGCATGATATCTCCACTAAGAAACAGAACCCCATCTAACTTTCTTTGCCAATTTTCTTCTCCCAGGACATCTGCGCCCGCTCCCCCGTCAGCCAATCTGACAGCGGCCTATCCCGCACCTCCTTCGAATCTCGCCTCTCCCGCCCTACAACAACTCCTCGCTCGACAATCAGCGGCTACACCTTCGACCCTCCATCAGAGTCTCCACATGAAGTGCAGGGTCAGCAACAGGAGCATGAGGATGCAGATGAGCAAGACCAAGAGCAATTTGTAGACATAGGTCTGAATGACGATGCAAAACTGAAGAAGAAGAAGGGCTTTCTGGCCCGCTTGGGGGACAACGTGATGACGGCTTCTATGCCTACTCCTAATACTTCTACTTCTACTGCAGCTGGCACTGGCACTGGCGGAGTGGAAGCTGCGGATAATAACAAGGTTGGTTCGTCACATTTGAGTTTGGGCTTTCATTTGCCTGGACGGAAGCGGGAGCAGAGTGATGGTGCTGGTGCTGGTGCTGGTGCTGGTGCTGGTGCGATTCAGGTGGCTGAGCTGGGAAGTTTGAAGATCCCCGTTAAATATGGCTGATGCCAAGTGATATGGATATGGCTGTGCCGATATTTAATGAATTCAATGATCGGGGAACTGCGTGTCGGAAACTGCGTGTCTTTTCACGTTTCACGTAACCTTCTTGTGAGAAGTGTTGTTTGTTTTCTTCATAAGAATATCTGAGACTTTGGATTGGGTGGCCTGTTTATATTGGACATATTTGACTCGGGGTTGATATCTCTCGCTTCCTATTTCATGTTTACGGCCTTGAGGGAACTTTGGGGAAACGGTTTTGGATCTTTTTGTTTACCTTGCGGTGTTATACGGAAACCTATTAATATTACTTACACGAATTATAAACATATATCAATAATACTGATGACCGATTCCAGTGCAGAAACGTTGGCGATTTCTTCAGGTAAATATAGACCTATAATGACATATCGGTAATGAAGAATAAAGAAAATGTTAAGACGCACACGTTCGTACACTCCCGGATACCTTTACATATCTCCAATCTACTTTAGATTCTTGAAGATGATGTCTGCACATTTACCGCACTGCCTCACTGACCGGCTGTGTAGTTTCGGGAGATATGCTGGGTTAGTTGTTTTTTCTTCATTCACAATAATATTGTTGTTGATGTTTCCAGTTGCAGCTCACAAGACATATATTCGTATCCTTCTTGCAGGCTGGATTATATATCTTCACATGGAGCGCAAGACTAGTGCATTCAGGTACGTGAGAGTATATACTTTCCGGCTTGTCCTCCCTCTGAAGTAATAGCCAGCCCCTTAGGAGATGACAATGGGAGAGTTCGATACCAATGTGATCGAGCCAAAATACATAGATCTGGAACTCGACAACGTCAGGTCACTTTTGAAGATATGACCATGTTTGGGGATATCCTGAAAGGCCGTTTATTGGCGAAGTCTAATTGAAGAAAAATCCATCAAATATTTTGGCAGGAAAATCTCCGTAAGAACGTTTGATCCCAAATCTAGAGATCACAGGTTCCATTCCCACTGCTTTGACGGGAGAGGAGGACGGAAAACATCAAGTTGAAGGGGTCTGTTCTCCTGTGGCGATGATGTTTGCTTGGTTTCCTTCTTCAACAGGGATGAACATGCAATATACTAATATATCTCACATTTTTCTCTATACGATAAGATGTCCCGAAGCAAAATGCTATCATCAACTTGAGATCGCCCGAACAAAACCTTGACTTAGCATGCAAACAGAGCAAACATTCGTCCGGGGGAAATCAAAAACGAAAAATTTATATATATATATATATATATTCAGAGAACCAAGCTCGGCAAGGTACTAGCCGATGTCCATCTGCTTGCCCTTCCCCGCTCCAATTTCAGGCTGAAAAAATCATGGCGGGGATTAAGCGCAGATTCGATACTGCAGATGGTCGTGATGGTAAACGGACGAAAGTTAAAGATGGAGGGAGAGTGAATAAAAACAAGCCGGTTGTGGAAAGCAAGTCGAAGTCGAAAAAGCCGCAGCCAAAGGTTGAGAGCAGCGAGGATGACGAGGAGGAAGAAGATTTTAATTTCAGTGAAGAGGGAGTAGATGTGGATGATTCCCCGTCTGACAGCGAAGATACCACTCAGCCTCAGAAATTGAAGACTCGTTCAAAAGGTTTGAACAGTTCGGAAAAACAGGCAAATGGAACCGGGGGCGGTGCTCTCTCTGTAAAAAGTATGTGTTCCTAGAAAAAAAAAAAAAAGAAATCACCTTTTGACATATGTCTAACCCAATCAATTCCTGTTACCAGGTGGAACTTCCTCAAAAGAATCACACGCAAAGCAAAAAGCGCTTGCGCAGGAACGCAAAGCCGCAAAACCAAATTCCGACCTTATTGCCCGCTCCAAGAAGCTTTGGGAACGCCTTCGCCGCAAATCACACGTACCTCTTGAGGAGCGCAAAAAACTTGTCGCGGAGCTATACTCTATCATCACGGGACGGGTAAAGGAGTTCGTTTTCAAACACGACTCCGTCCGTGTCATTCAGACGGCGCTCAAATATGCCACTCCCCAACAGCGCAAGGACATCGCGAAAGAATTGAAGGGCAACTATTGCAGCCTGGCGGAGAGTAAGTATGCAAAATTCTTAATCGGGAAATTACTGGTTCATGGCGACTCGGAGGTCAGGGATATAATTATTCCCGAGTTTTATGGACATGTTAAGCGGCTCATGCGGCATCCGGAGGCGTCATGGATCGTGGATGATATCTATAGGACTGTTGCGACGGCTACTCAGCGGGCTATGTTACTCCGCGAGTGGTATGGAGCTGAGTTTGTGGTTTTCAGACCTGCGGATGGGGTGCCGGAAACGGCAGATTTGGCGGAGATTATCTCGAAAAACCCAGAAAAGAGGGGCCCTATTATGAAGTATCTTCACGAGTTTACCAACCATCTCGTTCAGAAAAAATTTACTGGGTTCACGATGTTGCATGATGCCATGCTTCAATATTTCCTCAACACCACGCCTGGTAGTGAGGAGGCAGCAGAGCTTGTCCAGCTCATCCTGGGTGATGAGGAAGGGGACCTCGCTAAAAATTTGGCATTTACGAAGTCGGGTGCCCGACTGGTATCTCTATGTTTTGCATATTCGAACGCCAAAGACAGAAAACTTCTATTGAGACTCTACAGAGGCACGATGAAAATGCTAGCCGGCGATGTGAACGGACAGGTGGTCCTCCTTACAGCTTATGAGGTTATCGATGACACCAAACTCTCATCTAAATCGATATTTCCAGAGCTCCTCAACCAAGCATCTACTGCGGAAGCTCGTCACGAAGAACTTCTACTTCAAATTATTGACCTCACAGCCCGGATCCCCGTCCTCTATCCTTTTGCCGAGGATACAACACGCTGGCTCGTCACAGACCCAGATCACAAGAAAATCCTCGATGAAGTCCTAGCGATCCGATCCCAAACATCCAAAAAGGACCCGAATACCCGTCGCCAAGAGCTCGTCAAAGCCGCTTCACCGACCTTGCTTGAATTCATCGCCGCAAGTGCAGACTCTCTGGTTGAATATAGCTTTGGCTGCCAATTCATCACAGAAGTCCTATTCAGTGCAGATGGTGACAAACAGCCGCCCTAACTGCCATCGCGGCTCTAC